ATCCATACCCTAAAGCAGTCTGCTGGATCCTGTTTATCAGCACATCAAGTAAGCAATCATCAAAGCTACAGATTGGTAGAAATGCTGTAAACAGGCATCCATAGAGCCAAGGTCAAATTTAAAGCTCAGATTTCAAAATAGCAGCTCTGAACACATAAAAATCTTCTTAACACAGAGCACAATAACCCATGGGTTTGTTTTACTGGGTTTTGGGTTTGTTTTACTGGTTTTTACCAAAGTCTCTCCAAAAACTTCCACAACAGGGCTGGCTTCCCTCAGTGCCTTCTGTGTGAGTTGTTCAGGCTCCCCAGCATTGCCAGTCCTTGGAGTATCACCCACATCCTCCTCAGCCACCTCTGGCTCAACATAGGCAACAGCTTCATCCACCTGCTTGCACATGGTTGGGAGAGGTCTCTCGTCATAAGGTAAAATTTCAACCTAGCAGAAAAGATAAATTTTGTTGTTCTGGAAATGACTCAGAAATGAAGTGGTTTTATCACTAATTGGATTCACCTCAGTGCAATTTTCTCACATCCAAGCAGCATCACACCCCAGTTAACCATGAGAATAACCACATTATTTGGAAGGTTGGATGTCAGATTGTTTGCTCTGACAGGTTTCTGTAGTAACAGAGGGAACACTACTCACATTTTCCTTGGAAAACACTTCCTTGGAGGTTGTGGGCTGAGTCCGAGGAGAAAGAGGGGACTGGTAGGGAACAACAGGCTCAGAAGAAGTGGGATCCACCAAGTGCTCTTCCAGCACAAGCTCTGCCCTCAGGGGCTCTCCTTGGGGTGGGTCTGCAGGCTCAGGAGGGCAGCTCTGGGGGCTCTCAGTGCCACTCACAGATCCCAAAGGCAACTCGGGTGGCTTTTGGATCTGAGAAAGGGAAGAAGATTTTTATAGCAAGGCTAAAAATGTGCTAAAATCAGTCAGTACAGCCACAACTCTGTTAACGGGCTTCTGGTGATTTCAAGTAAACATTGAACCTGGCTCACAGGTGTGTCATCATTCCCACTGGACACAGCTTTATGAAACAGTCAGAAAATAATTCTGTGTGGGTGCATGCGTGGAGAGATTATAAAACTTCCTCTTCTGAGCACATTACATAACTGTATGTATATAAAAAATCACATGGATTCTGTGTGGTTAGCCTTGATACCACCTTCAGCCTCCTCTACCCCTCCAAAATATGAGAAAGTACCTTATTCATCTGCATCAGGTAGTCTTGAAATTATGCAAAACATTCAGGATTCTAATGCCATTTTCTTGGGACCTCAACAGTTTAATGGGATTTATGGAGAACTAAGCATGTTCATAAAACACCACATTGAGAGTCTTAGGCTGGAGAAATCCACAATCCAAAGAGAAAACTGAAATGCTTTAGTAAATCTCAAAGTTTCCATTAACCTGTGAATGAAGTTTGGCTGCTCTGCCATTTCTATTTAGAGCACTCTCCTGAGTCTGGACTAACAGCACCCACCAGCAGCTGTGCATCCAGGAGATCATGCAGCTCCAGCTGCTGGTACACCTTCAGCCTGTACTCATCCATCTGCTCCTTCTTCTTCTTGGCAAGGTCATAATCCTCCTTCTCTACCGCGTAACGCTTCTCCACCTCGTACCGGCCGAGCCGCTCGCCTACCTAGGATTGGTACAAATCATCTTGGAATCATCTTACTGAACATTCCTTGGAGTCACTTTACTGAGCACTTCTTGGAATCACCTTACTCTACTTGTTTCATTGCTTCCAGCCAAATTATTCAATCAAGGTATCTGATTTTAAAATTAATCTTTTCATTTTTGATAAAAGTATATTGAAAATCATTACGATTCCACACAAACAGCAAGGCCCTGCTGGGCCACTGGAGCTCTGCTCCACTTAGGTGTCAAAAAATCTTGCCACAATACCTTCTGCAAGTCTGCAATGGCCTGTTTGAGCTTCTTGGCGTGGTCATAGCACTCGAGATGCACAGCTTCCCTCTTCTTCTCATCCAGCCTCCGGATTATCTGAGCCACTTCTGGGTCCTGGTACATGTCAAAGGCCAAATCATCCAGAGGGGAAATGGAGTCACGTTTCCTGAAGGCAGAAAATGAATAAAGTAAACCACAATAAGGCAGGCTTCTCTTTTCATTAGCAGGGAATTAACAAAGCACAGAGACTAACAACTGCTTTACACCAAGCAGAGGTTTTGCCAGGGTATATGCAAAGAACAAACTTACCCAAGGTAAGTTCCATCTAAGGCAGGGTCATCCAATTTAATTCCCAAGTAATGATCAATCAGCTTCTCTCTGGAAGGCTTTGGAAGGGTGAAAAAAAAAAATCTTAATGCACATTCACCAATATCAGGTGTTTGTTCAAGACAGAATTCTTACTTGCCACAACCAACATCAGCTCTGCAATGTAGAGCACTTGTGTTTTGGGGCACATTGAAGCAAGAGAACCTGGAGACAATGAAAATCTCCCAGCTGATTGTATTTTAATTTTTGTATTCCCATATTAGGCTCAAATTTCTTGCTTTAAGAGAACATTAAAAATAAATTAATGCAACACATCTCTGTTGAAGAACTGGCACAAGAAAGGTTCATCCCATTACTCCAGGAGCCTGTACTTGAAGAAATGGAGCATCAGTAAAAGGACAGGGATGCTTTGGACTTACACTGCTCATGCTGCCAATGCCATAGTCTGCTGGATCCCCAATGATGTTCACAGCTACCAGGGCAACCTGCAGAAATTCACAGAAAATGGGAATGTGTAAGCTCATTCCTCTTTTCTTGGAATAAAAAACCAGGGCCTGTGATCAGGAGGGTGATATGGAAGCAGAGAGAAGTGGAGTGCTAAATGTGCCTCCTGCTCCATTGAAAATGTATCACCAGATGTACAACCCCATTGTCTGAAAGGAGTCCCAGCAGAACTGAGGAGGTGTTTGTGTGTCTGCACCACGGTGGCTGTGCAACACCTTCACTTAATGCCACAACACATCCAAAACACTCAGAGTGGCTTTGTGACCCCCAAAGCTGTTCTCAGAGAGAGTTGTCCTCAACACAGACCCTGCTGTCTCAGCACAAACAAGAGTGACAGATGTGCCCTTGACTCATTTGCTCTGGATGAGGTGCATCCACCTGATCCCAACTCTCTTCTAATCTGTTCTTTGTGTTTTGTGCTTTAAAACAAACTAAAATAAACACAGGAGCTTTCAACCAACATTTTTTTGCTTCCACAAATCAAGGGAGCAAATTTCTGTGCCTGCTCTTTACTATGGACGTGTCACCTAGGTTACTAGGTAAGGACTTTTAACTCACCTGCCCATACAAGTTGTATTTATTGACATAATTTTTATGGAAAATTAGCTTCAGGTACTGGCCAACTGCATCCATGTACACAGATTTCAACTCTCGAGCTCTGAAATCAGTCTTCTCATTGTCTGAGAGAGGGACATAACTGGGAAGGAAAACCCAACACATGAGCAGATACATCCAAACACACAGGTGAGTTTCTGACCCTCAGGTTTAAAACTCCCTCATAACTGAAACAACTGTGAAACCTCCCTCATAACCTCACAACTGAAATAACTGTGCTGCCACTTGGCACGGCAATTCACCTGCATCTCCAGCTTTGTCACAGATCTACACAAGTCCAGGATCTCCCAGCTGCTCACACAGCATGACCAATCTCACACAACCCACACGGGGCATTACTTTCCCCAGAAGATTTTCTGATTAAGGCAGTAAACTGATCCAGAACTTTCTGTCTCACCCAAGTCTCTGAAACCTCTCTGACTGATAGGGAGCAAAGTATTCAGGCAGGCTTTCACTGATGTAGAACTCAATTTTGCTGGCAATCATGTACTGGTGAGCGAGCAGCTGCAGCTTCCGGATCCGACACCTCTCCACCAGCTGCAGGGTGATCTCTTGGGGGTACTGACAGAGCCTGAAAGAGACACAGTTTCTCAATTCAATCATCATTCTAAAGTGGACTTCACTTCCAACTTGAGCAACATTTCATTATGGAACTTTCAAGTTGTGAATTGTAAGCCAACGTTATAAATATTGTAAGAATCCCAAGAGTAGAGTGGAAACACTTCTCCCTTTACTGTGTGCACATCTTCAGGTGCCCCACACATGTTTAGAAGATGTGCCGAGTCAAATGGATTTTTCATACTAAGCCAAACTCCAGGACTGCCAAGAACAAAAGCATTTTCATTTTCCAGGACTTTATTTAAATACAATGTAGCGCCTTTCAAGGTGCTTTTTCCCCCCCCAAGGCTGAGGGAGTAAAGTAACTTTTTTTGTTTTATCAGCTTGGTTTGGGATCCTGTAAACTGCTCTGACCATGCACGGTACATCTGCCACTCATTTTAAACTCGGTGGTTCTGAAATTCAGTGCTCCAAGACCAGCCCCCCACAGTACCTGGGCGAGCGCCACCCGTTCACTGTCGGTGCATGAACCATCAGCTCCCGAGCACTGAACCCATCCTCGTGTCCCGACGAACTGACCACCGTGAAACCGATCTTGTGTGGCATCCTGGGCAGATGAGCTGGCCACGGCCTTCAAGCTTAAACTCATCCCTGGAAGGGTGACAAAAACCCAATCTTGTAGGTTAAGAAGGAAGTGAGTTTTTTGGGAAGTGCCCACTGAGGCACCACAGTCAAATAATTGCATCCTGAGGTCTGCTGAGTCAGTAGATGAGTGCAAATATATATTCCCTTTAATTAACATTGGTACCATAAATGTTCTTTAGGCACGGGTTTGATTAGAGCTGAGCAGAACGAGGATTTCAATCACTTGCAGAGCAATCTGCCAATAAATTAAACCTGCTAATCCACGATGGACCTTGAAAGTAAGAGTTCCAAATGCATCCGGGAGCAACCCGTACCAAACCTAGAGCTGTTTGGTACACGAAAAAAACCCAAAGCATAGGGTCAGTTTAGTTTTTTTGGCAAAGCCACGCACCCACGACCGCCCCGCGGGCCCCGGGGCGCCTGCGCGGAGCGGCCCCGGCCCCGACACCGGCCCCGGGCGGGAGCGGCACCAGCCCGGGCATGGCGGAGCCGCTGCGGCCCTTCCGCCTGCGCGGGTGCGGCAGCCCGCAGAAGTTCGGGGTGGCGGCCGGGAGCCTGCGCGGGTTGCTGAGGAAGGGCTGCCGGCTGCTGCAGGTGCGGGGCGGACCGGACCGGGCTGCGGACGGTGCGGGACGGGCGAGGAGTTGCCGGGTGCCGGAGGGACGGGACGATACCGGGTTGGGATGCTGCTTACGGATGCGGGGCGGATCTGCCGATGCTGGACAGGACCGGGACTAGCGGGTGCCGCAGCTCCGGGCCGGGGCTGGAGCTGCAGCCGCTGAGGTCGGGGCCGCCCGGAGCCGGGATCCCTCCCGGAGCAGGGATCTCACCCGCCCGGAGCAGGGGTCCCTCCCGGAGCAGGGATCTCACCCGCCCGGAGCAGGGATCTCACCCGCCCGGAGCAGGGATCTCACCCGCCCGGAGCAGGGATCTCACCCGCCCGGAGCAGGGATCTCACCCGCCCGGAGCAGGGATCTCACCCGCCCGGAGCAGGGATCTCACCCGCCCGGAGCAGGGATCTCACCCGCCCGGAGCAGGGATCTCACCCGCCCGGAGCAGGGATCTCACCCGCCCGGAGCAGGGATCTCACCCGCCCGGAGCAGGGATCTCACCCGCCCGGAGCAGGGATCTCACCCGCCCGGAGCAGGGATCTCACCCGCCCGGAGCAGGGATCTCACCCGCCCGGAGCAGGGATCTCACCCGCCCGGAGCAGGGATCTCACCCGCCCGGAGCAGGGATCTCACCCGCCCGGAGCAGGGGTCCCTCCCGGAGCAGGGATCTCACCCGCCCGGAGCAGGGGTCCCTCCCGGAGCAGGGATCTCACCCGCCCGGAGCAGGGGTCCCTCCCGGAGCAGGGATCTCACCCGCCCGGAGCAGGGATCTCACCCGCCCGTGGGGCAGCTTCCCTTGGCAGGCAGCCGCCTCTGCCTCTACGAGGACGGCACGGAGCTGACCGAGGGCTACTTCCGAGCGCTGCCGCCGGAGACGGAGCTGGTGCTGCTGCGCCCCGGGGAGAGCTGGCGGGGCTGTGAGTGCGGGGCCGGGCGGGGGGCGCGGGGGCAGCGCCGGCCCCGGGGGCTCAGCCGGTGCCGCCTCACCTGCCCCAGGTGCCAGCGACATCGAGCGGCTCCTGGCCGCGTTCTGCAGCCAGCAGGGCGCTCTGGTGGAGGTTGCGCGGAGGCTGCTGACGGACGAGCGGGCTCCCCGCAAGCAGAAGCTGCTGGCGGATCTCATCCACAACCTGAGCGAAAACATCCTGGCCGAGAACAAGGAAGATGATAAGAAATGGTTTGAAGGTGAGTTTGTTGCCGTAGGAAGCTGCTGCGGGACTCTCAGGTCTTGCTCTGCTCCGAAAAGTCACTTCTGTCAGTTTTGTTGCTCTCAAAGCAAAGTTTGGGAGCTCTTCTGGCTGGTGGGACTGGGGACTTGGTCAGGGCTTTAGTTATTCCTTTCATTAGCACGTGTCTTTAGGTTTCTTTAAAGTACATGCACATTTAGTATCTAAAGCTAAATGTGTTAATAGTTTAGTATTGAAGCTAAAATTTTTTTTTTTTAAATGGTGTTCCCTATTGGTTTAATAAAGATAGCTCTGAAATGCATTTCCCTCATTAATATAAATATGCATTTATGATGTTTTAATGATTTGCTAATAGTATATGGATAAGTGGGACATCTCTGCTAGCTAACTGTGCTTTATATTCTCTTTACCATCTGCAAGTCTCCCTTCCCATTCCCAAGCCATTACTGCAGTTCTTCCCCAGCAATTGTTTTCCTTTCACAATGTCTTGGTGTTCCACATATAGAGTAACAAGAAACATAACAATACCAGCTACTGCTCTCTCAGCAGATGCTCTACAGCATCCTTTTAAGTGTTTAAGAGCAGGGTAGTCCTGAACCAGTAAAATATAAATGGGAAATTAAAAAAACTGTGCAACCTGAGTTAGTGGAAAGCCAGCATGAACTCCCAGCTGGGGAGGAGTTGTGCTGAGGTACAAAATAATCTCATTCCCTCCAGGGCTGGAGTCTCGGTTCAAGAACAAATCCAGCTACCTGCGGCATAGCTGTGAGAGCAGAATGCGGGGCTACATGAGAGAGGTAAAAGTTTCTGTTGAAGAAACTTATGTCAAGCTGTAACAGTAATTCTGTGGCTGCAGGAATATAAAGTATTTCTACAGCTGTGATTGTAGAAAAGAGCCTCAGGCTGCCACAGGAACCGAGGAGTGATTGCTGGGTTTCCCCCCTCTAGGTTAGTGGTTTTATTTCAAACGTTCATCCTGAAGCACAAGATGCCTACAGAGGGATAATCGACCTGATGGCAGATAAACTGAAATCTGTGAAGTACAACGGGTGCTACTTTGACAGAAGGGAGGAGGAGGAGGCAGCACGCCTGTGCACTGCAGAGGGGTGGTTCTCCTGTCAGGTACCTGCAGCCTTCCTGAAGAATCATGGAATGGTTTGGGTGGGAAGGGATCTTAAAGGGACACATTCCACTAGCCCAGTTTGCTCCCAGCCCCATCCAACCCAGCTTTGGACACTTCCAGGGATCCAGGGGCAGCCACAGCTTCTCTGGGCACCCTGTGCCAGGGCCTCCCCACCCTCACAGGGAAGAATTTCTTCTGAATAGCTGACTTAAACTTCCCCTTTCTTCACTTTGATCCCATCCCTGCCTCAGCACCAGAGGAAGGAAACAGCTTCCTGGGTGCAGTGTCAGGCTGGGGGGATGTGGGTGCAGGATCTCTCTGGCTCACTAGCACGTGGCAGGACCATGCTGGGGTGACAAGCGTGACACGTTTCACAGGGACCTTTTGACAGAGATGACTGCCCGTGTAAGCATTCCATCAACCCCTACAGCAACAGGGAAAGCAGGATCCTCTTCAGCACCTGGAATCTCGACCACGTGTATGTACAAAATGTTAATCCAGACCTACCTGCTTTGTGGCCTTCAGCTTCACCAGAAAGGTTCAGCTTTAGTCCCTTCCCCCTGCTGTGCCGTCAGCTCTGCTGTGAATATGTACTGAGAAAAGGTGCTGGGATGCTGCAGCTGCTGTGAGAACAAAACCCTGAAGACAGATGAAATGCTGCTTCTCATTAGCTGCTTTGCTTCTGATTTTCTGTGCATGGAAGCAAACCCCTCCTCACTGCACTATCCATGTGAATTCTCCTCTCCAGCAAAATCCCCTCTGAACCATTTCAAATGTTGGTGTGAAGTAAACATGATTTGCTAAACTAATTTCCTTGGGGGAAAAAAATCATATGCCTAGTAATGGAGAAAGAATTCCAGTTCTGCCTGGCTCTGAAAGGAAGATGCAGGCTTGATTATTCTGAAAAAACTCCTGATGGCAATATTGTCTTCTCTTTTGTGTCCCCAAGAATTGAGAAGAAACGTGCTGTTGTCCCAGAACTGGCAGAAGCTGTCAAAACACAAGACGGGAGAGAAGTGAACTGGGAATACTTCTATCAGCTGCTGTTTACCCTGGATAATTTAAAACTCGTACATATTGCTTGCCATAAGAAAACCAATCATAACCTCAGCTGTGACAAAACCAGAATTTACAGAAAGAGGAAGCAAACCCATGAGATTTCCTAGTGCTGTCTCTGTTAGGGACCTGCTGCCTTTTTCAATCATATCAGTCTGTTGTTTTTAAATAACTCCAATTTCTTAAATAAGAACTATTTGAGAATCCCTGGAAGAAGACTGGCTGGGTAACCAAACCAGAGCCTCACAAAGCACACTCCAATATCCCATTTAATTCTCCTCTTCTGCCTTCCCACTCCTTACAAGCTTCCCTCAAATCAAGTGTGATAAAGGTACAAAATGAGCCAGAGGCTGACTCTGATTCTACCCTGTCATCTCTGGCTAGTGTTGGCCCAAGATTCACAGTACACAGAAATGAAACTTGGACAAAACACTTTTTTACAAACTAACCTGCAGGGGCTCACAGACTCTTACTCCTCTGGAGATTAAACCAAAGAACATTTAGGATCATGTGCTTTTTATCTGTGCCTTTTTCAGGTAGCTTCAGGAATGCCAAAGGTGGTTCAGCAGCAGAGCTGCGACCTCACCTGTGCCAAACTCCTGCCCTCATCCACACCTGCCCCTTTGCCATTGCTTCAGATGTGCATCTCCTAGAAAGAAAAGCAAGGCCATAGCATTTTTTTTTTGCTTTTTTCACCTTTGTGTGCCATCTTCCCTGCTGATTTTCCTCTCCTTTCTAACACTTTCTGCCTCCAGCTTGAGTTTGCTTGACACACCACCAGAAAGGACAGCTATAATGATCATGTTTACAGTAATGTTTACCCACTGCCTTGGAGAATATTGTTTTGGTAAAACATTTCCTACCTCAGGCAACAAATCAGGAATAGTTCAATTTTTTACTTGAATTCTTTTTTTAATACCAGCTGATAGCAACTGAACTTTTGGGATTGTCAATGTAAATCGTGTGAACATTTTAAATAAAAAAATGCCCCCACATCTGTGTGTGTGTGAGTACATGAAGGTGCACAAGACATTAATCAGACGTGACAGAGCATGAAGGGAAATGTGTTATGAATTGAGCACCAGCTACTTACTGCTCTGTAAATAATTAGTAAAAGCTCTATTTTCCCTCATTGTTGGTCCTGGACCAGTTAGTCCACATGAAATTGTATGGAAATGATATTTCTGCCTGAGCCCCAAATTACTGGGTCTTGGAAGCTTTGCTACAGCGAGTATTGATTTACTTTAAACAACAAGCTCAGTCCCCTCCCAAACACTGCAATCTGAAAAGCAAGGAAGTGCATTTTTAACACAGGACTTCTAATTCCACTGCATGTAATTGATCCTTCCTGCACTGTTTGACACTGGGCAGCACTGGCAGGATTCTGGTGACAAACCCAGTGTCACCTGTGTGGCACGTGTCTCCCAAACTGAAAATGCATTTTGCAAGTGAAATGAATGTCTGTGTGTGAAACTGTTTGCTAGAAAGAGCCAGCAGCAAACACAGCACTGAAGGAATGCTGGGAGGAGCTGCTGCAACACAGAGCTGGGCTGGAACTATGAATATGCAATTAAAAAATCTGGATTTTTCCGTGTTACAGAATTAGAGTGAAAAGGAGCCAAGAAATATCTTTGACAGAAACAATGCATCAGCTGGAGTGGAAATGGGAATGCATTACCATGCCATGCATATGCAATTTGTTTGCCTTACAACTTTTGAATGTTTAACAAGCTCTAGCTGTAGAAATTAATATTTATTTAAACCATCTGCTGATAACATTTTCTCTCTATTTTTAGAAACATAGACGGAGCTATAACAATAAATATCTAGAAGCTTATTGCATAATCACACTTTCAAAGAAATATTCCCACAAACACTGGGTGAATTAACAGTTCCTGGAATCGGCTGAGGTTGCTCCTTTTGTTTTTTAAACATGCAAAGGGGGCTGCCCCAGAGGCTCAGCAATCTTCCTCTGTCCATAAAGGGACGGTATTTGTTGTGTATCATCACCAAAGCATTTGTTTCCAAAATCCCTGCTGGAAACCAGCTGGAAATCAACGAAGGACAACACTTAAGAGCAGCAGGTGGAGGGAGAAGGCAGCACCACGGGGTGGGTGTTTGGGGAGCTGACGTGCAACGAAAACGTGCTGAACTCGCAGAGATGAGCACACTGAATCCATTCTGACATCCTGCATTTCGTTTTGCCAGCAGAACTGCATTTTAGAGGTTTAATTGGGCCTGGGTTAGGTGTAAACAACCCACACAAGGAAGACCTTTGACCTTCTTTGTACCAGGGAGTCAGTTAGCCCCTTTATTACCTGGATGCCACAGACATTGCAGAATTAAAGAATCTTCCTCCAGCATCCTTTTCTTGACTGTTTTGAAAAAAAGGAGTGAAACCAAATACTTTCTCAAGATAGAGGCTCAAATTTACAAAAAAGCCACAAGAACTTCTATATTCCGTGGTTTTTTTTCCCCTCAAATATCAGTGGTAAAGTGCTCAATTATACTTTATTTCCAATACATTGAAAATTCAGTATTTGCCCCAGATAATCACTGGAATACTATATCTGCCAATTCCAGCAAAACAAACTCTCCCAGTTCTCTCCCTGAGAAAAGACAGACACCTCATGTTACTGACACAGCCATTGCTATGTGGTCACAAAGAGAAAGAAGAAAGGTTTAATTTGTTTACAGTCTGTTGTTAGACATGATCCTCTTCCTCCTCCTCCTCCTCTTCATCATCTTCCTTTGCAATGAAATGCAGCTTCCTGGCTTCTCGCCTGCTCCTCGTCACACTCGGGAGCACAACTGCTGGGAGGTGCTGGAAGGAAAAGATCAAATCAACAAGGGAAGTCTGTGGAGGCAGAACTACCTCCAGCAGCTCCCATCCTCCTCATCTGACACAGGGACCAACCCTCAGCTTGGGAGCAGTGGCATGAAGGTAAAGCTGTGGGGTTTGAGGGGAGTCTGCCCAAACCAGATCCATGGGCACTCTCAGGGCTGGCATTCCTTCCACTGGTGTGAGGAGGATTGGCAGAGGGTGAAGGGCTCCCTAAACAAATCCTCACTGCTCCCTAAATACCACAAGAAACACCTAAAAGGTGGCAGCATCACTTGCCCCATACTTATGCTTCTTAAAGGGATTCAAATGTAAAGCTCTGGCCCTTGGGTCAGTTCAAAAAAACAAAAGACAGAAACCAGTTTCCATTCCTAACAATCCCAATGCAGCAGGACTGGAACTGGGTGATTTCTAAGATCCCTCCAACCCAAGCTGTTCTATGATTCTGTTAAGAACCAAAGACCAGCAAAAATCTATTTTGCCAACAATATTGTGTCTCCATAATCTCATTATCAGTAAAAATACCTATCTCATGGAATTAGACTAAAAAGTCTAAATAAGAAAGATTTTACACCTGAAATTAATTTAGCTGGGCAAGTAATTTCATTTCTGATGGAGACAGTTTTATCTGGGGTACAGGCCCCAACACTACTGGCCAAATTCACCAAGAGTTTTGAGGCAAATTTTAAGCAGACCAGGGCTGGGTCTAAAGCAGGAACAGACTCATCTCACCAGTTCAACATCTCCAAAGAACCGGTGCACTGGCATGGGCTGGTTGCTGTCCTCATCCGAGAGGCCACTGCTGTGCTCCAGCAGCATCGGCCTCCGCGGGTGATCCGCGTCCTCCGAGGTGGCCCCGTCAAAGCTCCCACAGCTGCTCTCCTCTTCACTGAACACGTGGTAGTGGTGCAGATATCCACCCATTTTTAATGGAGCACCGCTGGATTTCACCGTGTGTGGCTCCAGAGGAACACCATGCTCCTTCTCCTGCTTCCCTTCGTCAGTCTCTGGGATGCTTTCATCTTTTTCCTGTTGGATTACACTGCTGTCTCTTGGATCTTCTGAACCTCCATCCCCATCAGATGTTTTAGGTGTTTCCCCCAGTGCAGCAAGGTTTCCACTTTCACACGTGAGTCCCTCTAGCTCTGATTTTAGATTGCTTTCTTCGTATTTCATCCTCTTTGCAGGTCGTCCTTCAGCAGCTTCATGTGATGAACACTGTTAGAAAAAAAAAGACAAGATCGTAAAGTTCACTTGAAATAAAGAAGAAAAAAAATCACCTCATCTCTTTAGTTACAAAGCTGGCTTTGGAACAGAAGAGCTCCATCACACGAGTGGCATTTTGATCCAAACCTTCTAAGAAAAGTAATTAGTAGAAAGTGCCTGTGAAGAGAGGAAAAGAGGAGCAGACAGCTTACATAAACCACAATGTACAGTCCATCACCAGCAAGAGAAAAACACTTTGCTCAGAAAATAAACTAGCACCGCAAGAGGTCAATCACCATGTTCTTATTTTCTTAAGGATGATGCTAATGGGAATTACTGTGCCAGGCCTGTCATCACCCGGCACGGTGAGCGGCTAAATCTGCTCTGTATTTCTGCACCGGCACAAACAACGTCGTGGGAGGAGCGGGAACGCCGATAAATTTACTTCAGTTCTCCTGATAATTCCCACATGATGATGCTCAGATTGTAGCTGTTAATAATCACCTGAGATCCCCCCACTCTGTAAGCGCCCAGCCCCGCGGCCTTTCCCTCCCACACCATCCCACCTAGCCCCGTCCCTCCTACCGGGCTCGCCGTGTCTGCTGTTTCCCCCGCGGGCTGTGCGGGGTCCGTTGCCGGGGCCGCCTCCGCGGAGCGCCGAGCCCGGTGCCGTGGCCGTGGCCGGGCCGGGCGAGCGGGGCCGCGGGTGTCCGAGAGCCTCCGGCCCCGCGCCGTGCCGCCCGCCGCCATCTTGGGCCCCGCGCGGGCCCGCGCTCGCCATCTTGTGGAGCTTCGTTCAGGAACCCCGGGGCGGGCGCGGGCTCCGGGCACCGACAAAGGGCTCCGGGCAAAGGACAGCCTCATCCCGCACAGTGAGGGCGGGGAGCCCACAGGCCTCGCACACCGGGGCCCCTCACACGCCACAACCCCTCACGCACCGGAGCCCCTCACACGCCGCAGCCCCTAGCTTGGACCACAGACAGCATCGCCTTAGCGAAGCTTTGGCAAAGTGAGCCCAAAGCAACTCATCACAGGTCACACAATGGGGTGGGTTGGAAACGACTTTGAAGATCATCCAGTCACCCCCTGCCATGGCAGGGACACCTTCCACTATCCCAATCTGCTCCCAGCCCTGTCCAACCTGGACTTGGGCACTTCCAGGGATCCAGGGGCAGCCACAGCTGCTCTGGGCACCTGTGCCAGGGCATCCCCACCCTCACAGCCAAGAATTTCTTCCCAATATCCAATCTAAACCTACTCTCTATCAATTTAAACCCATTCCTCCTTGTCTTGTTGCTACATGCTTTGGTAGATAGTCTTGCTTCTTTCCTATAAGTTCCCTTCAAGTATTGGAAGGTTGCAATTACTGTTTCTGAAGGGAACTTACTAACCTCCCTCTCTGCTGCTGCTTAGGGAAAAACCCAGCCCCATCCTGCCTGGGAGCTATGTAGCTTATAAACATTTGAAATCGTTTGCTTCCCATTGTGTCTCACTCTGGAGCAGCGCTTGCTCCCATTCAAGACGTGGTCGAAGAGTTATTATTCAGATGTTCTTCTCTCTACTTTTCACAGCCCTCAGGGAACAAATTATGTCAGTAACTCAAATCCCTCTTTAACTTCAAGGACTCTGAGGGTAGCAGATGAATTTCTGTGTAGTAAAGCACCCAGATTTAAGTACGTAATTATCCTGTCTGATGTTCCCAGGGAGGTGCTGCGGGGAGCGATGGCAGGTACCGGCGCCCTGACGGCCACGTCCCCACGATGGGGCCCACGGGCTTCATCCATCACATTAAACACAGCTCCTTCTCCAGTTAATTCAGTGCTTTGGGGATGCTGTGGGGATTTTTATAATTCTGTCCATCTGAGGGCACAGGAGCTTGTTTCTTTATAGCAGCCTTTAATGTTCCTGCTCGTTGCAGAGCTGTCCCACGAGTCTCAGTGGTACCTGTGCTCCTCCATCCAACTTGGCTGATTAAAAGCTTGTCCGTTCAGCCTGGCCTTAAAAAACAGGAGCAACAATTTAAATCGCAGAAATAAGTGGCAAGACTGTACCTATGGGGATATTCAAGAAATACATATTTTCTCAAAAGTATAAAATCCCCCAGTTAAACCATTCAGGTTTGGAGACTCGCCTGCACATTGTTGTGCAATTTCCCTTGGTGCTCAGGGTCCGTCTATGCTTTGTTCTCCGGGTGAGATAATTCATATTCTTCTCCAAAACCTCCTTGACTTGCTCCACTCTCTCAGTGTTGTTGCTTGCAGCCATGGAATACAGATGATTGTTTTTATTAGGCAGTGAAAACTTATACTGTCTTGTAAACAGCTGCAGAATAAAGCTGGCTGAAAAGCAGCATTTCTGCAGCTGGAAAACGTGGTTCTTGTTTTAATTTCTACAACAAACTGAAAATAGTAAGGAAAATTTAATTCCAATAAATACTTTTCACAACACTGTATGTTTCTGGGGTTTTATGCCGCTTTGGAAACTGATGTGACTGAGCACTGAGAAGGGGGTGTCAAAGCCCTGAGCTATCCTGTGGCCTTTGGTGACCTGGCATGGGGTGAGATACACAATTACAAGCAATGAGGCTCTGTGGGGTGGCCTTGGACACAGGGCGAAAGGGGCACAGTAGCTTAGATGGAGCTGGGATGGCAGGGCTGCATCCAGAGCTCTCATGTCACACTCCCCCTATTCCCTTCTTTAACCACGTTATTTTGGGGGCAGGTAGCGACAATTTCACAGCTTCAGCTGTTGCTGCATATTTTGAAATATGGCCGAGATAAAAACTGTCACATAGCGCAGGAAGCACCCAGGAGAGACTGTGGATCCCTCTGAGATCCATCCCTATCTCAGCAGCAGTGACTCCCAAGTGATTTGAAAGGCAACAGGGGGACTGCCAACAGCCCTCTGAGAGAATCAGAGCAGCACGAGCTGTTTACATTAAACCCACATTTCCACATAAAAGGGGGGTTATTCTCAATATTTAAAAAATGGGTTATGTTAGAATTTGTTTTCTAAGCAGGCAGGGAAGAAAAAATGAAAAGAGGGTTTTGTGAGCTCCATCATTCCTGTGAAAACTGGCGGCTCTGCAGCAGCAGCTGATGAGCTTATGGAGCAGGAAGGGAGAGCCGGGCTGTGAAACTTGATGTGCAAATGAGCTTCTTGCAGCACTTGTCTCTGCGCCTGTCACTTGCACCAGTGTCCCTGTCTGTTATAATCCTCCCAGTTCATTTGGCTAAACATGACTGACATGCCAGGGACAGCAGCCAAAAAAAATGTTGCCTGTAAACATGCTGGCTGTTAACTGTTGAATGTGAGGTCTGTCATACTGAACAGCCATCCATCAGGAGCGCTGGCTGGCCTTTTCCTGCCATGGGAAAGGTGGGTGGAGTTCAAGTGGCTGAATTCTTCTTTCATGGGAGAAAGAAGGAGGAAGATCCACTTCCCAATAACCAGGACCAGGAGCCTTGCTCCCTGCTGCATCCTTCTTGCTGCCTCCTCCTTGGTCTTGTGATGAAGATTTGAAGAAGAAATGTTTAGCTGCTGTTCCCTTCTATCACGGTGTTGTTGTGCCAGCTCAGGTAATGTTGGTGAGCATTGAGGCTGGATGGGGCTCTGAGTAACCTGGCCTAAGGAAGGTGTCCCTCCCATGGCAGGGAGTTAGAACTGGATTACCTTCAAGGCTCCTTCTAAGCCAAGCCATTCTGTGATTCCATGATTCCATGAACTGCCACTTTTGGGCTCCCAGAGGCACTGTGTCCTGGGAACTTCTCTGGGAGTTGATACCCCATCTAGAACTGAAATTCACAAGGATCTGCAGCCCTCCAATGCAGCTGCCCTGAGCACTGCTGACCTGAGGACCTTTGCACCACTCACACAGAATAAACCCCTCATTTCCATCGCAGAGGAGTGCTCACATTAGGAGCTGGTGAGCCTTGACACAGAAATCACAGGCAATTTACGGTACATAATGAAACTTTATGCTTGCCATGTGAGAAATCTCTTTGAGTCTTATTTTGGATTTCTAGCAAGTGTTTTATCAAGGACCAAACATGGAAAGGCAGTATCTGAGGAAATTAATTAACACGACAGAGCTGTACGTGGGCTTTGTGAGAAAGAGCAACAAAGAGGAAACCTGTGACATTTGTTAATGACAAACCATAAGGAACATCGGAGAACAGCGAGTGCAGAGAACCCAGCCCAGCCTGGGGGGTTCAATACCTGTCTGAGGGACTGTTTGGCACTGGGCTTCCTGTGATGGGTACAGCTGGAGCCCTGCCAGGATCTGCCCCAAACCCTTGCCTGGAGCCCTGCTGCTTGTGCTCTTGTCCCCCTGCTACTGATGCACTTTTTGTAAACATTTCTAGTGTTTACCTGGCAAATCCTTCCCAAGGCACCTTCAAACACTGCCCAGTGAATTCCACCTGCCCCAGGTCTCCTGCCCTCCCTTAGCCCCTCTTGCTCCTGGCATATGGATTTTTAAAGTGTTTCACAAACCACAAGTAAATCTCTCCCAGCACAAAGCGTCTCACTGGGTCCAAAGCCTTACCTTTGCTCCAGGAGACTGATTACAAGGATTTTAATGATTTACTGGCAGCTTGGACTGGCTGTTCAAAAGCATCAGCTACAGAAACCTTTTCCTGGCTCAATTTAAAGGCTGCAGTAACTGTAGCCGTGGGAACAGGCGCTCCCGCCCCTCCGCTTCCCGCTTTGTCACGTCGCTTTGCTACAGGCTCTAATTAGGGTTTAATTAGGGTTTCATTCCCATCGAACTTCCCGGCCGGGGCAGCAGCTCGGGCTCAGCCGCCGCCCGACGCTGGGGGTCAGTGTGAGACCGGCGGTGCGGCCGCGCCGCTCGTGGGCTCGGGGACACGGGGGACATGGGGGACACGTGGGGACACGCAAGGTGGGCGACACGGGGAGATACGGGGGAACGTGGCGACATAAAGGACGTGGGAGGGACAAGGAGTTCTCTCCGTTCTCGTGGGAGAGGCTCAGCCCCCACCAAGTCTGCCCTCCTGCCGGGAGCCCAAGTCAGGGAGACACAGGATGGTTGGGTTGGGGGGACGTTAAGGCTTATCCCGTTCCGACCCCTTGCCATAGGCAGGGACACCTTCCACTATCCCAGGTTACTCCAAGCCCTGTCCAACCTGGCCTTGGACACTTTCAGAGATGGGGCAGCCACAGCTTCTCCGGGAAATCTGTGCCAGCGCCTCACCACCCTCACAGGGAAGAATTTCTCCCTAAAATCAAATCTATAGTTCCCCTCTTTTAGTTTAAAGCCATGCCCCCTTGTCCTGTCACTCCATGCCCTTGTCCACTGCCCTCTCCAGCTCTCCTGGAGCCCCTTTAGGCACTGCAAGGGGTTCTAAGTTCTCCCCAGAACTTCCTGTTCTCCAGGCTGGATACCCCCAGTTCTCCCAGCTTGTCTCCATGGGAGAGATGCCCAGATTTTGTCTGTTTGCTTTGCTAGGCGCCCCAGGGAGCTGGAGCAGTTGTGTTCTGCAGCTCTGAGTGTGCTGCTCCCAGCTGGAACAGGGCACCTCAGGAACAAACAGCTTCTCTTTGTATCCTCCAGCCCCCCCCGCCTGCAGGTAGCTGAGCCTGGTCCTGGCATTGCCACCCTGCCCAGCTGTCAGAGGGACAGGCTGGGAGCACCATACTCAGCAAGGCTGAACTTCATCCAAAAGCTGAGCCCAGGCTGCTCTCAGCATAATTTGCTTAGTTAGATTTAAAATAATAATTTAAGAATGCC